GGCTAGTGACTGGGGAAACTGAGAGCTACAGATCAGCGAGTTCCAATATCTCCTCAGCAAGGAAGAAGACAGCGGCGGACATACTCATCCTGAGTACGGGGGTCCGTCACAGCATGGATGCCAGAGGAATCAGAAATCATTGTGTTCTGTAGAACTGAGGTACAGGTAAAATTCAACTTCAATTCAACTGAAAACATGTCTTATCTCGATTAAACACATAAAGCATATGTAATTTTGATAACATGTGCCCGAAAAACACTAATTACTAGAAAAAGGAGGCCGATAATGAGCCATAAACAAACAATGTTTACTCAAAAAGAAGAACAGTTGATGATTCAGAGACAAAAAATTAGTGTTTGCTTACATGGCATGTAGGTTTAAACTATATGGTGGGTGTTCTTCAAACTGAAACAAACTGGGGTAAAAAATGGTGAAATATCTCAAACCCTGAGATTTTTGTTTGTAGATTGTCATTACTAAACATTTCTAAAGTTGTCTTCGTTGTTATTTTGAAGATTTGGATAAAGTTCTAATGCTGAAAATTATTTACACATGCCTATCCAACACACCCAGCAATGTGTTCGATGAGGAAGATCTTTAGGCAACCTAAGGATCCTTTTTCAGATGACAGAGACACTTTAACCTTACATAACTCCTATACTTAAATAAAATTGTAAACCCAGCCTCTAAAATCTAGTCTCATCCTAACCCAATACTGTTATTACTGCAAACACACGCAGCAAAGTTATTGACTTTAATTTATGGAATAATATACAAACAAAAGACAAATACATGCAATGATTATACCTTGAAGGCTTCCACCAGGGTCATGTTTTTACATCTCATCAGGTAAGCAATACAGATTGTAGCTGATCGACTACGTCCGTGCTTACAGTAGACCAGGCACTTCCCCCCACCGCGAACAGTACTGTCTATCAGATCCACGCATTGGTCAAAATGTTCAGACAGGTTCTGCAGTGGGTGATCAATCACAGGAACTCGAAGAGTACAAAGCTTATAGTCCGGGAATGGCTGCCTCTTTGAAATGTTGATGCAACATGTCACTCCCTCTGTTATGAGGAGCTCCTTCTTGCAGGCAGCTCTAGCATTGCTTATCAATAAGGACTCTGTAATTTTATAAAGTTCAGACATATCACCTAAACTCTAAAAGTAAACAAGTTACTTGCGTCGGGCAGCACGGGAACATCCAGAATAAAATGCATCCATTGCTGACACCTAGCTAGCTTGTTCTAGATGCATGTGCTCTGTCCTGGCCAGATCTTCTGTGGTTATTTTAAGATCTAAGCCTGTGACAAGATATCCCTGCTGTGAGGATTTCATGCTTGGTTATTAAAATAGCTATACGCTCAAATCACAAAGCTTGACAAGAATAAGCGTCTTTATTTTCATCCATGTGGCTGTAATTTTCAAATCTTATTGAACTCAGCTAAAATTCAGATGTGGAAACATTTGTTGGGGCCCTTACAGCTCATTGAATCAATCCTTTATTTTTTTTGAAAAGTGATGAAATTAAAAGCAGTTGCCTCATGTACTGTATACCTGCGTGAGTTTTGCATGCCATAGACCTTGTTCACACAAGCAGCTCCAGTGCCCCTCTGAAGAGCGATCCTATAGAGGGTTGCTTTTCAGAGGGTGGTAGAGCAGCAGCTGTTTTGAATGTTGTTTTCTATTCCTATATCCCAATGGGGACTGGGACTTTCTATTGCAATGCTGAGTGCGCAACCTTGTACCCAGGCATTACAAGCTGGATCTCATAGAGATTCATATAGTTCTCTATGAATAAGCCGTTTGGTGAAACATGTTAGAGTTAGAGGAGCCTGTGTGTGTTTACAGCATGTTTTGACTTCAAGAATAAACATTGTCTAGCATGTTTACACTAGTCATTTGTGCAGGAATTGTTTCTGTGGGAACCTGTATCAAGCTGCAGTGTGCTTTTCTTGCCTGCACCGATTTGAGGATGGAGCTGTGTGAACCACAGGACAAGGAATATGAGCGGTGGCTGCTTTGTGAGTCTTGTACCCAGGCAGTTGCGGCATGGTCCCATTCACTGCAATGTTCGTGTTTGGCATCACCAACACCTGCCAAATGTCACATGCTGTTTCAAAGCATGCAGCAGCGGCATGTGCGCAAGCATTAGAAGCCACTATATTAAGATTACATATGATTATATCACAGTGCTATTACAAACTGACTGTTTTCTGTAATTAGTTTCACACATTTGTAAACAGTCAGCCTATTTAAATGGAAACTATTAGCCAATCTGCTGTTTGGTGTCATCGTGTGCACTGCACTGAACATGGACTAGAGAAAGCAAAGGAGAGAGCTGTTTGAGGAGATCAGACTAAGCTAAGCAGCTATGAATAAAGCCATGTGTGGCTAAAATGTGTAGTAGTTTTATGATGTGAACTGTTTAATATATTTAATATAGGATCAGAACATGAAGCTGTGCCGGAACCTGTGTTATATTATGTATACATGTTGTTCTATGAATGGAGGATAGTAATGCCTCCTGAGATACTGACATCACTTACCTTAGGTGACATTACATCCCTCATTCATACCGTGTGGTAAACACACATGGTTCCAGATCTTTGTCTGCACATACTTGTATCTGATATCTGCCACTGCTTCTGTTTACTTCCCCCGTAATATGAGTGGTAATGCCTCCTGGAATATATGATGCCTAGGCAGAAATCGCAGCAAGGGGTGGGGCCAGCAGCACAAAATAAGAAAAAGATTTAAAAAAATAAAGGTTGTCTTTTTTAAAAAGTGGAGGGGGAGAGTTAGATGGGGGAAAGTTCACTTTTTGAGTGACTGCCTGCTCTAAAAGTGAGCAAAAGCCCATTGACGATGTTAGGAGTGAAGCAGGTGGTGACATAAAACATGTTATGCATACATCAAAGTTTATTAAAATAAAGTAACATACGGCAATTATCTATCTATCTATCTATCTATCTATCTATCTATCTATCTATCTATCTATCTAATCTCTATAAACACTAAATCTCATTTATATAGTAATAGAGTATAATTAGTTCTATAAAAATTAAAGCTCCCATCCTTATAGTATAAACAGTTATCTGAAAATAAAATCACATATTTATCATTAGTTTTTTGGGTGAAATAAGAACACATCATTTCCAGAAAACTGGTCAGAATACAGAGAACAATACAGGCTGACAGCTCCCGAATCAAAGATGGCCTCCGCGATTAATGAGCGTCATTTTCCAGTTCCGGTTTCCATGGAGATGCGTCCCCTGCCGGGTCACGTGCTCCATGATCAGCCCGTCGCGTAATAATGTCGCCTGTCTCTATGGCAACAGCTGTTACAACGCGCTGAGAAGCTGGATATGGGTAGTTTCCCGGGAAGATACAGGAACATAGCTGATGAGGTAACCCGTGTGCCCACCGAGGTGACCCGCTCTGTGTATGTGGCGGCCAGTGTGTCCCTGGGTCTGACTGCCAGGGTACAGAGAGACACTGCACGTTATAATCCCGCTTCTGGACCTCGTTGTGTCATGTGTGTTGTTTTATTGGCACTCTCATGTATAAAGGATTGTTGTGTAAAGTATGTCGCTTGGTTGTGTGTTGTTATTAATAGAACTTTGCTGCTCACATTATACAGTCATTTCCGGGGACAGCATGCTGATGAAGAAGAAGGCTTAAAGCTGAAGATAAGTTAACTTTTGTTTTGCTATGTGACTCCAGGGACATAACTTACCTCCAGTGTGGTTCGTCCCATGGCCCGGGGGCTGCTGCATATTGGAGAATTCTTATGAGTGCCGCCAGATCCCCCCGTCCATTGCTGACCGTCCAGAACTGTGGGGGTTAACAGCAGCTGCTGCTAGTGTCTGCAGAAGTTGCGTCGTTCGAATGCCCCCCCCCCCCTTCGGGCTTTTGCCCGCAATACACTGAGAGCGCCAAAGCAGGTAGGGAATCCCAACAATACTGTCGAGATCCACCCAGCTGGCTGATTGACAGCATGCTCTGCCCATCTAGAGACAGCCAGCTGTGCCCGTCTACTCCAGTGCTGGGGGAATCCCTTCTGGGAGTCATGATTGACAGCCCCCGCTCTCTGCAGGGATCTTCCCGATCAAAAGAGCCGACGTGTGACAGTTTCATTGTCACACATCGGCTCTAACTATAACTATGAGTGTAAACCACTCATCTAATAGTTCTCCTTTAAATCCAGAAAATTCTCCTGCAGTAGTTATTTTGTCCTCAGTCTGATTTAACCCACTTCCTCTGAGCCCATGTCATCCTCAACCTGCCCCCAGCCCATTACTAGAGAATGAAAGGAAAAAAGCAGCAGAGTGATGAACTCATCTCTCTGTCATTCTGCTCTCTGCTGCTATAAACATTCTTCTTGTCAGCAGATTAACTGATTGTCTCCTTGTTCTGCTTCTTTCTTTTAACTCTCCAGCCCTGCTGTGCCACCTCTTTCTTGTGAGCTCCGTCATGTTCTACAACTGAGGCAATGATCCCATGGTCAGTATACCAGTAGCATTGTGGATGTTTGCCATGATTGGGGACTGCAGGAAATCTGCAAGTTGTCACTCAGAGCTCTCATCCATAAGATAAGAGTATCAGCAGTAAGCCAAGCCTGCTTATATAATGAGTGGATGGTGGGAATGTGGAAGGTATGTAAGTCCTCACAATGCATGTCCTGCAGAAAACTTAATATTTTGAACGGAATGGGCAAGGTATAGGTTTAGAAGAAGATCAGAAGACAGACATGTTGGTGGGGATAGTTGTGTTCTATTTCTACCTCATATGTAGAGCCTGTAGTACACTCCTAATTCACCATGGAACCGTGAACCAGTTGAATTGTTTTTAATACAGTAACAGGCTACGTATCTTCTCTGTCAGCAGTTTGAATTTGATGTCTCTAATCTGCAATAATGTAATCTCTTTCTTCCCCACCAGCCTTCTGATTTGTCTAAATTGTGTCACCCACAGGCCTGTAAAAAGTAACAGACATGTCTCATCCTGATACATTGGTATCAACAAATGGGTCAGATCCACCTGAAGGACGTGAAGGGTCAGACACAGACAGTAAACAACAGGAAAACGTATGCAGGCATTGTATTCCAAATGAGTTCCACCAAGAGATCACTGAGGAGGAATCCGAACAAGAGAATGGACCACAAGTTCTGGATAGGAAAGACATAGTAAGCCCGAGTCCGCAGCCAGGCCATGAAGAGCTAGAGCTGCAATGCAATCCAAAGGAAGATGTGGAATTTCAGCAATGGTCTGATGGCTCCAGCTACAGAGGGAATCTTACTATGAACATGAAGCGGGGAGTTGGGGAATTCAGATGGGCCAATGGAGAGGTGTGTGTGGCTGCAGTCATATGAAAGATTTGGGATAAGGAAAATCCTGATTTCTTCTAAACTGTAATGTGTGAAGTGGCCATACACCTTACAATCTGATCATAGTGGTCATACACCTTACAATCTGATCATAGTGGTCATACACCTTACAATCTGGTCATAGAAATCCTTTTGATTTTCCAATAACTGTGTAATGTGAGGGCCTAACTGAACAATCCAATCAGACAGAGCCATAGCATCAAATAACTGTTGTTAGATCCAATGGAGATTGTACAAGCAGATTGTAACATGTTTGGTCTACATGGTGTTATTAATAATCAACTCTACCTGAAGCTGCCTTTTAATCTTTGTGTGATTGCTATTGGTCTAAATGACATGCTGGATTCTTGTATCTCCCAGTTATTCCAATGACAGAATATCCCCACTGGATACCCCAGTTCTACTCAACTGCTGCTGCTATCTATTGCTTCCCAAAGCAGATAAAGGAAACTTGTACTCCAAGAGAACATGGAGGCTGTCATTGCTGACTTCCCTGTTTGAGAACGCTTGTTGTTTGGCCAGGGGCGTAACTAGAAATCACAGGGCCCCATAGCAACATTTTGTATGGGGCCCTGTAATTTCTAGTTCTGCCCTTGCAGAGCCCACCTGAGATCCCAAACAGACCACCTGAGAGTGACCCTGCAGAGCCCGCCATAGACTCTCAGGTGGCCTGGTCAAACCCTCTTACCTGTCAGCCCTGACCCGCTGTCCGCCTCCTCCTCCTTTACAGTCGCTGGCAGGCCCCACTTCCTCTTCCATCATCGGGCCCGCCTCCTCCTCCGCTGCTGATGCCGGGCCTAGCCTCCTCCTCCTCCATAGCTGCTAGCTGTCACTGACTCGGCAGCGGCTGTGAGGAGGAACGTGCCGCTGCACAGATCACTGACAGGTTGTCGGTGACCTAACAGCGACACGTTCCTCCTCACAGCCGCCATTGACAGCCTTCAAGCCTAAGACGCCATAGCGACCCAGGCAGCCCGTGCGGCATGAAGGGGATGTTCTGGCCGGGTGCACAGGGCCCCATAACAGCCGCTTAGGTCGCTATGGCGATTGGTACGGCACTGTGTTTGGCTGATTCAGTGGCTTCTTGACATATGCAGATCAGGAGTTATAGTGCCACTCTAACTTTATATTCTACATCAGGGCTGGACATATCTCAGGAGCCACGTCACCAAGGCTCCTTAAAAATGACATCTGGCACCTGAATTTTGAGGTTGTTGTTAATGGAGCTGACTGCTAGAAAAATCCTGCTGGTTTCTGGTTTGGACAGACTGGCTCCTGAATTCCATAGGTCCACTCCGATCTACATGAGTGTTACAGGTAAGTGACTCAGATAGTACTCAGTCAGCCAGTCAGAAGGTCAGCAATAACAGCCCCGTATGTCTCCTTCTACAAGTTTCCGTCAAACCCATCTGCTTCCCACATTTATTTCTTTTTCATCCTTTATTACAATTGATATATTATTTCTGTTTACAGTTTCATTTCCATCTTTTATTTACAGAGGAATACAGACCTCATTACCGATTCTTCCTGCAGGAATTGTCATCTAAATAGATCCAGGGCATGTTCATACTACCTCATAGTGGTATAGCACAGTTGTGCCCCATTCACACATTAGTCCATTGCAGTGCCATTCATTTTGAACGCCACCCCAAATGCACGTCTAGAACTCAGCTACATTACAGTACAAAGAAAATACGACATCACTCAATGAGGGGAATTGATCAAAACGGGAGCCGACAGAATCTGGAGCAGTTGCCCTTGGTAACCAGCTTCGATCTTTCATTTTCAATGTTTAACTGAACAAACACAGAAGATGATTGGTTGCTATAGGCAACTGCTCCAGATTCTGTCTGTTCCAGTTTTGATAAATTCCCCTCGTGCATTGACCTGTGCTGCAAAAAAGGCAGCATGACCTATTTTTTTGTGCATGGAGATGCATTCCAGCCTGTTCATTTTTGGCTGCCTAATGTTCAGAAATATGTGTGTTGGAAAATATTGCAATCTGATGCAAATGGGTCCTAATGTGCACCTGTAGCTTTAGAGAAAACAATATAGTGCCATAGCTCCCAACTAGACATTATTTGTGGGGACAGTCCCTCTGAAAACCAAATCTCCCTGTTGCTCTTTCTTCTTTAAATGTCCCTCATTAGGTCTTATGTACAGACCTTTATAAACTATTGACTATTTATTGGCAAAGGTGTTTATTTTGCACTAAAATTTTATCCAACCAGTGGAAGGGAAAATTCGAGGTGAAAGAGCAAAACCTTGTTTAACTGTTTATTTCTACTCATTAACTGGTTTTTGTTTACAGTATATGATTGTGGGGTGGTGAGAGTGCGCCCTTTGTCCACATATCTTGTGCTACAACGTGTCCCTCTTTCCCGTGTCAGAATGTTGGTAGCTATGCACATAACAGATTACAGCAGAGAAGATTAGCACTGCCCTTGGGTTTGTTTTTTTTTTCACATTTTTTAGTGTATTTTGTAAGTGTTGTACTAAGTATCTCCGGAAACAAGTAAGTTCTAAAGATAAACAAAGAATTTCCTTAATTTCAGTGAAAGAAACTAGTAACTTATTGAGCAGCAAGGCAATTAATCCTTTATTATGGGCGCATGGGAGAGCTGAAATGAAAAATACTTCCTGTAAACTCCCCATTATTAGGCATTCAAGGAAACAAGTACTCTCAGACTAGGTTCACACTTGCACTACATTGCGCGTCCCAGGATCGCGAGGTCCTGCACAATGCAGGCAGCGTTTGCCACGCGGTCCCATTTATTTCAATGGGGTGACATCTGCGCGTACATGTATCTTTTTTTGCGATACACGATGTGCGGCTGTTTTAGCTGTGATCGTGTTCGGAAGCATGGGCAGAATCACGGCGGGAAACCGCGCAATCGGCCTCGCGCGACTGGAGTGCCATTAGAAAATAATGGCACCCACAGCGCGATCGGTTCACACCTTGGCGACTCCTGACCGCGTGGCAGAGGTGTTGCCTAGGTGTGAACCTAGCCTCAAGCAACCGGCAAAAACACAATACATAATACATGTAAAACATAATACATAGCAAAACGTAATATGGCCTCGATTTTAATTTTCCTTGCTGGATAGACATGTGCAGACAAACATTTTTTGTTAGCAACTAAATGTTCTCTGTTTACATCTTGCGCTTAGATTCCGCAGCTGGCAGCTGAATATAAACAACGGACAGTGGGTGGGAACAATAGCCAGCCTGCTATTGCAAATTGCAATAGCCAATAGCAGGCTGGCTATTGCATCCCTCCACTGTCTGCTGTCAATGAGCAGAGGAGCGCACCTAGAGAGTTCTCCATCACATATAAGATAATATCAGTTTTTAGTGGATCTCACATATATTAGCTTGGCTGCTGTTACAAGAAATTAATTCATGTATGTTTTTTTTTTGTTTGTTTTTATTCAGAGTTATATTGGTGAATTTTACAAAGATCATCACCATGGCAAAGGGGTTTACTCTTGGCCCGATGGCTCCAAATTCACTGGCTCCTTTTACCTCAGCCGTAAAGAAGGCTACGGAACCATGACATTTCCAGATGGCAAAACTTACCAGGTAAATGTTTCTTTATTCCTAAGAATACTGCAGTCATTACACTACTGAGCTGCACAAAGCTTTGTATACAGTATATTAGATAGACAGACATCAGCATAGCATTCACTAGCATCCACTCCAGTCATGTGCCAGGCTGACACACTAATTTACACTAATGACCCATTCAGATGACCACTAAAGAAAACTCAGCTTTGCCTTCCACCTGTTTGGTTTTTCTATGAAGTTTGGTGTGTCAGGATTCACTCCATCTCTGTCACCTCTTGATTTTTAAAATTTTTTGTCAACAGGGTCTCTACAAGTCGGATATACGCTATGGACCTGGATTTGAGACTTACAACGATGGGTGCCAGGATGTTGGCATCTGGAAGGGGCAACACTTGTTCAGACTGTGCAATGTGCTACCTGGCTCTATCTCCATTCTTTCTTTCCCACAGTTTTGTGATCCTCAGCAGTCACATAAAGGATATGTTAGTAAAGATCCTGACTCCATTACAATAGAGGAGAAGGGGAAGGCTGATGACCCCTTTTTCTTTAGGTATAAGTTCCTGCTGCTAGAGGACAGCGTCATCCTTCCGGAGAAGATATATTCTTACTGCTCTGACACTGACCACCTCCCTATCACTCCTACCCAGTATCTAGAGTTTGATCAACACTTTTTCAGACTCAAAGACCAGCAAGAGATATCCAATGATGTTACCTCTGATAATGTACAGCCTAACAACGGAATGAGGAAGATTCATCTCCATGTTAATACACAAAGGTTAGTAGAAATTGTAGCATTTAAAGAGAGGGCACCCTATTCCGCATGTGTGTCGGATTATGGCCGAATACAACTCTCCTAAAACTGTGTCCAGAGCACAGCAGTGTTATTATTTGAATGGATTTAGTTGCAAAGCCACCACCGCGGTGACTAACTCCATTAAGATTAATGCTTAGGGACTGGAATCAGTGAGCAAGTGGAAGTGAAGACTCAATGAACCTGCATACCTGCAAAATACTGTGCATTAATGTGTGCTGCATACGCATTAATGTGCAGTATTTTACATTGTATCTAAACCCAAGTCCTTAGAGGTGGTGGCTGCAATAGTTTTCTTTTTGGGGCATCATTTCCTTTATTTTTACCTGGTAATCTGGTCAGTAAGTCTGTTACTTTTCAATTTCCTTTACCAGGCCAAGTTGTCCAGCAAAAGTGGCAGATCGAGGGTTTGAGACAGACCATTTAACACTGAGAGGGATGGTCAGCTGTCACAATATAATACCGGCAGGGAAGATTCTTCCATCCATGCTGTTTAGGCTGAAATTTCAGCAAATAATGTGGAATTGTTCAAGAAACTTTTGGACGATTTCTTAAGGGACCGTAATATACAGGGGTACAGGTACTCCTAGAATGAGATCCTAATAGGTTGGACTTGATGGACTAATGTCTTTATTCAACCTCAAATACTATGTAACTATGTAACTATGTAAATTACTGGGGTGAGGTGATGTCAGCGATAACATACATTTCTTTACTAAGGTACTCCAAACCCAGATGAAACGTTTTCCCTTGCCATGGGACTGCAGCGCAAGGGTTATTTATGCCAAGGAGAGAGGACAACCTGTTTTACTTACCTGATCCCCTCTCACTTGGAAGTCGGCACTCCTCTCCACTCCACCTGTGGACTGTCCCCTGGCGTACTCCCATCTAATGCAGGTCTATTGAGAGGCTGCCGGGACCGGTCTAGCAGGCCAGAGGGGGCCGGTGGAGCAAGGATCGGGTAAGTAACACAACATTTTCCTGTTCCCTAGGCATAAACTAGCACTTAACAATTGCAGCCCCACTGCAAGGGAATTTCCTTGGACTTAGACTTTAAAATGTGTCTCTAGGTAAAGCCATTTTTCTAGTTTTCAATACAGCGCGCAAAGGTTAGACTCAAGTTTTCATTGCTGTCTTTGTCCCCATTGGGGAGATTTACCCCTCTGTTTGACCATTGTCACCAAGAATGGAAATGATGAATAAATATTGATGAAATCCAATATTATACGGGTCTATTCACTAAGCTGCCGAGGGCAGCCGAGTGAACAACCGACCCCAAGTGAAGTGAGCCGAACACTTCACTTGGGGTCGGTTGAAATTTCTATTTTAAAAGGGAAATATCAGGGGGCTTTTTAGACCCCTAATATTTCCCCGAAGCCCCCCCAAGAGTTTAAAAAAAAATTATGAAAATTTAAAATAGATAAAAATAAATAATGAAAATGAAATAAAAAAATAGTAAAAAATAAGAGGGGTCCTGGGGCCGTAGCTAGCCGAAGGATCGGCCGAAGCTACGGCTAGATCCTTTGGCAGCTTCGTGAATAGACCCCATAGTGTTGTTCCCAGAACAAGAGGTAAGGGGAAATCTCCCAATGGTGACACCTGCTTCCAAGTCACATATTGAAGTTCACAAACTGAGCTCATGATATTCCTCATCCCAATGGGCACCTTCCCCCAACTTTTCCATTGCAATTGATAACACAACTATCTCTCTCCCACCCCATGCTAAGGTCCTAGGTGTCATTCTTGACTCCGAACTCACCTTTCTGCCCCACATCCAATCACTATCCAAATCCTGCCGCCTTCACCTTCCTGACATCTCCAAAATACGCCCCTTCCTCACCAATGAAATTGCAATATTACTCATCCACCCACTTGTTATCTCCCGTCTTAACTATTGGAACTTCCTCCTCATTGGCCTACCTCTACACAGGCTATCCCCCTTCAGTCTATCATAAATGCTGCTGCTAGACTCATCCACCTAGCCAACCGCTCAGTGTCTGCAACCCCCCACTGTCAATCCCTCCACTGGCTTCCAATTGCCCAAAGGATAAAATTCAAAATATTAACAACCACTGACAAACCCATCCACAACTGAGGAGAGGTTGGAGATATAGCCAGGGGCAAAGTATCACCCTAACCATCCCCTCCACTCCTCCCAAGACCTCCTGCTCTCTAGCTCCTTTCTCAACTTCTCCCATCGCCTCCAGGACTTCTCTAGAGTATTGCCTATCCTCTGGAACTCCTTACCCTAACCTGTCCTTCTGTCTGCCTCTAGGCGATCCCTGAAGATTCATCTCTTTAGAGAAGCCTATCCCACCTCAAACTAACCACTAAACAATCACTTTCAATGACTTCCCACACAGCTACCACCTCTTGTATCTTGATTTGTACTGTAACTGTAATGTCTTCCTTATATTGTAAAGTGCAAACCGTTGGCGCTATATAAATCCTGTATAATAATAATAATAATAATAAGTTCCCTTTAATTTGGGAAATGTCCTTGAATTTTCTGTTGTGTCTCTGGGACAGGAAGTGAATGGAAATTTACCCAGTGGTACACAGACAGCAAAAATCAAATAAACTGGCTGGGCTTTTAACCCTTTCCTGTTCTAAAACGAAAAAAAAGTTTTGACTCTACATACGCTTTCAACTCACGTGCTTTTTGTATGTTAACAAAAGGGAACTAATGTATTATATTATTTTGTTTAAATACCCAGTCTGGAAAAATACACTTTTCAGGTATTTTTTTTGTTTGCTTCTATTTATAGACACAGCCCAGAGCACTTGAAATGGGGAATGAATTCTATATTAAATGGCGACAGATATACGTTTGGTCCGACAGGTCCCCGTGAACAAGCGGCAGAGCAGCTGATAGTGGTGGCTGGACTGGGAGATTATGATGCCATTTCTACAATCCTGAGACATGATCTGGCCCATGTGGATGTGTCTGACAAGTGTGGGCTGACTGGTCTGCAAGCTGCAGCGGTACGTATCAAAGTGCATTCGGTTATGCTCCTAACAGAAAGCAGAAAGGTGATGTGCACTTTGACTCTCAATTTTATATTGTTTTTAGATAGTGGAAAAAAGATAGAGAGGAAATATTTTCCACATACAGCAAAGAATGTTGAGACTGATTTCTGAAGGCCTGTGCAAATAAAATGTCTGTGCTGCTAACAGCACCACACAGATTGCAACAATTCTTTTCCAGTACAGTATAGAGCATTAGGGCCCTTTCACACCATCAAGAGTGCTTTTACCGTGCATTCGGCCTCTGGAACGCAACCAGGCCGGCTCACTTTGTTTTGGGATGGGAGGGGGCATGGCGGTGCATTGAACTCAATGGCACTGCCGCCACGTCCCCATCTTCAGTGCTATCGCCGGCACCCAAATGCGTGGCACATTAGTGCCTGCGTTCTGGTCCAGTGCGATCTGCAAATAATGCGGCATGCCATTTTTTTTGCAGATCGCACTGGACCGGAACGCAGGCACTAATGTGCCACGCGTTTGGTTGCCAGCGATCGCACCGCGGGCGGTGGATGCACTGCCACACCCCCTCCTGCCCCAAAACAAAGAGAGCCGGCTGGGTTGCGTTACAGAGGCTGGATGCACTGGACCACACTCTTGATGGTGTGACTGGGCCCTTAAAGTATATAATAATGACAACAGCACCATAGCTGACACATTCATCTAACACCACACCCCAGACCATCCACGGCATATGTTACACGTTGTCCAGTCCTGTAAATATAGGTGTCCAAGGTGAGAGCTAGACGTGGTACTGTATAACATCGCAAGACAATTAGTAGTGGTAGTGGCGTGTTTCGCAGAGTAAGATCTGCTTTATTAGACTTTACTGTATTTGGTGATACAAATATGCATCCGGGGCAGACCAACCTCCATCTGCACCCTCCGTCTACCGCCAGGCATCAAAGATCGTCTGACCCGGGGACAATAGGGGAATCCAGAAGGCCCAGAGAAAGATCTAGTGTCTATGTAGCCAAGCCAAGCGAAACACACTGGTCAGAGTTAGGGCAGCATTAAAGTGTATGTAGAGTCAAAGAATGAGCATCTCTTATTTGCTTTCTTTTCATCTATTTAATATACCATTATTATTATTATTGAGATGCACCAAAATTTCGTCCAAAAATAGCACTTTTGGCCGAATGCCGAAAGTGCCATGACGACCGAAACTGCAGCCGGAAGTTTAGTACATCTCTTCTCTCCGCCCCGCTGGGGTCTGGTCTGTGTGCCTTTCAATGCACCAGCCGGCACCCAGCAGGGAGGAAAGGAGGTTTCAGTATGACGAGCGGTGGGGGGAAGAGAGCGCTGCCAGCGTTGCAGGAGGCCGAACTCACCTCCTTGCTCGGCCCCCTGTATCAGGATAGAGAGCAGTGTGATTGTTGTGCAAGCAAAAACAGAATGCCGAGCTCTCCTCCCACACCTCCTGGCTCGGCCTAGATCACTTCCTGTTCATTCATAATTGTGGACATGGTAAACATACTATCTCCACAATGAATGATGAATAGGAATACTCAGTATAGAGGCTTCCTGTTCATTGATAACAGGGGCTGCAGAATAAGAGATTGAGGACTCTGTGTTCTCAATCTCTTTTTCTATTTTAAAAGGGAAATATCAGGGGTCTGTTTAGACCCCCAATAGTTCCCCGAAGCCCCCAACAATAAAGTAAAAAAAATAAATCATTAAAAAATAATGTTTTACATTTTTTTTAAAAGGTTGGGGAAAAAAACTTCATTTTCAGTTTCGGCCTGACAAATTTTTTATTTCTGGTTTCAGTCTGAAAATTCTATTTTGGTGCATCCCTAATATTAATAATAATAATGTACACATAGGTACACAGTATATAGTACACAGTCATGCTATGTAAACAGCACTGTAGTGCGCTAGTTCAAACCAGGGCGTAGCGGGAACGCATATTCCTGCACGTTTGTGAGACTTTGTTTCCCACGTTTGGCACATGTCCTTTTTGATCCCCATTGGGTCCCTGGATGCGCACCAAACACTAAAAAGTAGTACATATCTCTAAATTTGGTGATGTGTTGCTTTTGTGGTGTTCTCACGCTCGTGAATGCAAAGAGAAAAAGTTTCGGTCTCAAAATTAAATTTTGGCGCATCCCTAATATTAATAATAATAATAATAATTATTATTATTATGGGTTTATATAGCGCCAATAGTTTGCTCAGCTCTTTCAACATATGAGGAAACAGTAAAATTACAATACAATGCCATACAAATGGATTAGACGGCCCCGCTCGTGAGAGCTTGCAATCTACAAAGAGGGGCAATTGATACAGAAGGTTTTGTTATCTGTTTGATAAGTGTAAAAACTACCTGCTGATCCTTTCAAAAAGCCAGTGCTCTCCTGTGTCCTGTGCACTCAGCAGTGTTATCTCAACCAATGTTATTTGAAAGTGTGTTAGGACTCCAGAACCCTTGCTCCTATGTTAAGCAGCTGAAGAAAGGGGAAGGTATTCTGTAGTCCTGACATAAGTGTTCCACTGGTCCTCCGTAGATACTACAGTATGTCGAGTTAATGTTATAAGAAAACAAATTCAGCCTTCCACATCTAAGGACTTAGATGGCTGCAGTATACCACATTTTTATTCTTGGATTTAGATCATTTAATTCCAGCCTCATATTTAATGCATTTGGCATGTTTTCCTTTTGGTCGCAGTTTTATAAATCCAGATCAGTAGTTTTCAAATGCAGGCTGGAAAAAATAAAAAGGAAAAGAGTTTGTCCTTAGCAACCAATCAGATTGAAGCTGTCATTTTTTTGTGGTTTGATGACGGCCATTCTGTAACATGTAAGAGATGAAGTGTGTTTTCATTGGCAGCGAGTCCAGTATAATTTCTCACCTGCATAAGATACAACTGGGACCTGACTGATCGCTCACATAACAGACAGATCTGGTTGTAAGTGAACAGACATGTAAAATGCGTCTTTTGTGAACTATACATTATTACATTTACATTATGTTCTTTCTTGGCTGCATGCTGGATGTGTTTGCCGATATGTCATCCTGCAGGATATACAGTACATGTTATTTTCCAGTGACTGGCCACATGTGGCTGTTTTTATAAAGATAACACGGTTCCAATCCTCCAACTGTATGAGTGATTTTACTTATAGATCTGTCCATCAAAAATCCTTCTGCTTACATCACCCAGAGTGACTCCTCTGGAAAATGTCTCAGGGGGTCAGTGATTCTGTCTTCTCTGTAGATGAAACATGACTGCATGACAGAACCGCAGCACATTATTCCAGGAGGAAGAAAACAGAAAGCATTGTGTAGACCTGCTATTCGTAATCTGTGATCTTCCACCTATTTGCTGCCAATATATAAAAATAGTTTCCAGGGATTCTTCACTGCTACTTGTGAATTGAATGAAGAAAGATCTATGCAGTTGCTTCCAGCAAGAAAGGGTTTATTGAACAATAAAGGCACAACACGTTTAAGCTGGAACTTTGACGCGTTTCACACTTTAGTGCTTCATAATAAGCCTTGCTTATTGTCTGACTTCCTGTCACCACTCTAGGATAGAATAGGAATAAAGACAACAATAAAAACTTGACAGATGTGCTACCTCTTTCAGACTCTGAGAAAGTAAAATAAAACTACATATAAAGCCTAGATGAATTATCTTTACCGTATTTGCCGGCATATAAGACGACCACCTATATTTTCAGTTAAAACATTTTTGGGCTATACTCTTCGTATAAGACGAGTATAGCCCAAAATAATGTTTAAATACACATTTGTCAGCCTGCTGGTTGTGCGGTAATACTGTATGTACGGTAGCTTCGGCTACATACAGTATACCGCGCTAATGACCCCAGTGCACCCCATTATTGTAGACCACCCACAGCATCCTGTGTCATCTAGTGACTCCAGTGTACCCCAAAATATCCTATGTCACCTAGTTGCCCCAGGGCACCCCTATGCACCCTGTGACTCCTGTGCACTCAACAGCATACTGTGTTCTCTAGTGACCCCAGTGCACCCCGTTGTGTCCTGTGACTCCTGTGCACCCCAAAGTATCTTCTCATCTAGTGACCTCCCACTAATCTGTCAGTCCGCTGTATGTACGGTAGCTTCGGCTACATACAGTATACCTTGCTGAGCCAATCACGGCATCCCGTGTCACCAGCTCGCCTGTGGGCTCACATCCCTAGTAACGTGTCACTGTCCTGCTGGGGGATAGGGAGGCTTTGCTGCCTTCCCTGGCAAGGTACTCTCCAAATAATGAGATGCAACGGCTGCATACCGGGATAAGGTTCTGGTATGTATTTTGAGAGGGACCCCATGTGCATTGTGTCTTTGGGGGGGGGGGGGGGGG